ATCTTCCTGCATTCGGCATCATTGCATGGCTGTGAGAGTCTAAAGAGGAATTTATGGACTAGTATTGACATATGGGGTAATATCGGACTTATGGGCTTGATCTGGACTGGGTTGGGATGTTTTCTTAATATACAATTACTCTTTGATATAAAGCTCTTTCTTATACACATCTGAGTGTCTCTGGATTTGTTTCTCTAGTCTACCAGGACTAACACACTCCCTGTTAGCCACTGAGTTTGTACCTGCACTGGGAAAGGGCCAGAATTTTCCAAGTAGTGAAGGAAACTCAAACCAAACTCACTGCCACCGAGTCAATGTCGGTTCACAGCAACCTTCTAAGGCAAGGTAGAACTGCCCCTGTGGATTCTGAGACAGCAGCTCTTATGGAAGCAGAACCAACAGAGAAAAAAGAACAAAATTCAAACGCACTGCCAGCAAGTTCATGCTAACTCATAGTGACCCTCTAGGTCAGGAGAGAGCTGCCCCTATTGAGTTTCTGAGACTGCAGATCTTTATGGGGATAAAAAGGGTGTCCTAGAGAAGACTAGGAGAGTGAAAGATAATCTCTCATGAAAATCTGGAGTGGAGATGAGGGATTCCTGCTAAGAGTCATGAATAAAGTGCAGAAAGTGACATTTATCAAAGGGCACTGGATTGAGATTATTTAATGGTTTATTTGACCATCAAAAGAACTCTGTCCATTTAAAAATTAGTAAACAAGGCCCAGGAGAGGATGCTATTTTTCCAGTATAGTTGCGGGGGTGGTCCTCAAACCTCAGCAAGCTGACCCCAGAGGCTGAGCTCTCACTCTCAGAAGGCAGGTGTGTAAGATAACCAGGCTTTGCTTTTACCTATCCAGGTGTGAGTTCATCAACAGGTAAACATACAGAAGAGCAAAAGAAATCTGAACCCTGGTATAACATACCCTGCTGATTCCTAGGGCATCTCCCGCGAAGACCATGGGCTAAGGGTGCGAATACCCATGGGATGAAATGAAGCAGCTGCCCGTCAGGCACCCAGGCTGACGCCTCTATCAACCATCTGAGTTGCTAGAGGCCAAATAAGATTCCCTGAAGAAAGGGTCCAATGGATTTTTCTGGTTTGTTTTGAAAATGGCATATTGCAACTGCGGGCCTAATATTCCAGCGCGGCTTCCCCATACACAGCTGTGTGGACTCACCGAGAGCTATTTAGCCCCTCTGACCTTGTGTTTCATCTTTCCTAAGATGAGGAGAATAATTCTTTGCGTAAAGCAGTGTTGTAAGAACTAGAGGTGACACATGTGCTGGGCCAGGCCTGGCTCTGGCTTTAAAATGAGAGCAATTAAGGTTCTCATTCCTCAGAGAGCAGCACCTGTCCTTTCTGCCTGTGCCTCCTCCGTCAGTTCACTTGCCGGCCCTCTCTGCCTTTCCCATGCGCTTTCATTAGTATTTTGTATTTTGAGGTGATATGGGGGTCAGGGGGGCACTCAGATATACTGTAAGGCATTGTACAATTCTAACAGAAAATCAAATCCTTGGCTGAAGCAAATGACTTGAGCTCCGCTGCTAATCTTAAGGTTGATGGTTTGAACCCACTCAACAATGCCCAGAAAGCAATTCTGCCTCCACAGGGATTAGGGCAAAGAAAGTCCTACGGTGCAGGTTGACTCTGTGGGACGTGGGATGAGCGGCGATCCCCTCCACAGCAGTGGGTTTGCCTTTTTAGCAGGAAAACGGATGCAGCGCAGAGAGAAAGGTAATGCGGCCCTTTGCCTCACAGGAACACTTCTTTCAGGAAGTCAAGGGGGGCCCACACGGTTCATGGTGTGCCCATAGGAAAGCCTAACTGCAAACTCTGCTACGCACCGCCAAGTTTGTCGTGCATCTGCTCTAGCCTCTCCTTCAATTCCATCTCGGCAGTGCAGCGTAGCCGGGTCTCCTGCTGGGATGCCGGCATTTACTGAGCATTGCATTTCCTCTCTGGCTACCTGCGGCCGTGACATTGAAATCAAGAAACAACCCACTGCCACAACTCATTGCCACCCTGAGGTTGTAATGATTGACAAGTGCAGACAGCCTCTTCTTCTCCCTGCCAAGGACCTGGTGGGTTTGGACTACAGACCTTGCAGTAAGCAGCCCAATGCCTAACCTACAGAACCACCACGGCGCAATGATAGAGCAGTTCATTGTCCCTGTTTCCTCACTGGGAAATGAGGATTAAGTGTCCTTCTCTCTTAATGAAACCCAAGCTCAAAACTCACTGTGATTGAGTGGATTCCAACTCAAAGACCCCCCACAGAGGATAAT